TGTGTGTGTGTGTGTGTGAGGAACCAGAGGTCTGTCTCAGGAACCATCCACCATTTTGGTTTGGTGGTGAGAGAAGGAAGCAGCTCACTCCAGACCCTGGCCCGAGTCAGCCCCTCAGCACACTGACGAGAGCAGAATTGCCTGCAGAAATGGCCTTCTCTCCCGACAGTCAGCTGTGTCAGCTGGGCTTGGTCAGCTTGATACAAACTAGGACCATCCAGGAAGTAGGAACCTCGATTGAGGAAAGTCCCCAGTAAGATTGGCCTGTAGGCCAGCCTGTATGACATTTCCTTTAACCATTGACGTGGAAGAGTCCAGGGGACTGTGGATGATGCCACCCAGGGGTAGGCGGTTTTAGCAAGTTGAATGAACCATGGGGAGTGAGCCAGTTAGCAGCCTCTCCTCACACCCATGGTCCTTCAGTTCCTGCCCTGAGTCCCTTTCTGATGGACACAAGCTGTGAGAGGGAATAGCCCTTTCCTCCCTCAAGTGGCTTTGGTCATAGTGTCTGTCACAGCAACAGGAAGCAAACTAGAACATCAGTGGTCTTAGCCAACACTGGATCCTGCACGCTGCAGTACTGACCCACCACGCAAGTGATGCCCACTGGTGCAGTGGTATCACGGCCATTACTGGGGCAACCACCTGCCTTCTGATTGGACTGGAGGCCTGCTCCACAGGAGGGAACTCCTGAATGGCACTGTAAACCTGGTCAACAGGATCCCAAGCCTTGGGAGAACTCGCTGGCGTTGTTCTGTTAAACAGTCACATTGCCAAACTGCTTTCTAAAGGCGTATGGTTTTCAGCCATTGATTCTGCTGCTCCCAGCCCAGGTCAGAGGAGCTTCCCATGGCAGAGACTCACACTGGCCAAGGTGCTGAGCATCAGAGAGAGCCAGAGCTCAGCCATCGCCGGGACATCTATATCAACCTTCTCCAGTCACAGCTCAGGAACAGCAAGGAAAGAGGGGGCAGAAAGTGAGAGAGCTGGAGGATGGGGAGGAAGGCTGTGAGGCGCTGACTTCTGAACATGGCGTGGCTGTCGCATACATGAACTCACAGGGTCTGTAGTTACCTAGGCAGAACCAAACTCAAATTCCAGCACGGATGGAGAGGTGCACAGGGGCCCATCCCAGATGAGGAGCTGGTGATAGCCAATGGCTGCTGGCGGAGGGAGAGCTGTTTTCCTTTGGGGACCAGTGGCAGGTTGTCCATGCCCCCAGTGGTGGTCTCACACCCACGCACATAGGGAAGCACCCACTGGGCTCACTGGCTTTTTTTGTTTTGTTGCTTTTTAAAAGAAGGTCATGAAGTTGGGAGGTAAACATTTTGGGAGATCCTAGATGAAGTTGGATGGGGGGAGAGGAGTGATGGTTGTCTATGATCAAGTTATATTATATTATATATGCATTAAATTTTCCAGAAATAAATTAGATAATCTTATAAAGAAACATTTCAATTTTTCCTGAGTATGTCTAATTTTAATTTTATGTGTATGAATGTTTTGCCCATGGTTATGTTTGCACACCACATGTGTGTCTGATACCCACAGAGGTCAAAGGATCCCTTGGAACTGAAGATGGTTGTGGGATGATATGTGGGTGCTGGGAATTGAGTGTACGTCCTCTGGAAGCTTAACCCTGGAGCCATCTCTCCAAATACATACATATATAATTATATATAATGTGTGTGGTATGATAGTTGTAATTGCAGCACTGGGAAATGGGGAAAAGCAGATCCATGAAGCTCATTGACCAGCCTGTTCCAGACACGCATGTATATGCAGGCACAGGCACACACACACATATAGACACACACTCACGTGCACACACATATACACACACACACTTGAGCATACATTTAAACTAAGCTCACTCAGTACCATAGTTCTTCTGATGCTGAGTTTCACTCTGAGCCGTCCTCTCTCGCATTTAGATCTAAGCCCTGCACCTCATAAAATCACCCTGCAATTTCATTTGCAAAAGAGTTAGGTAAATAAGTAAACCCACTTGTATATTTTATTTAATTTTTAAACTTTACTTAATTTCTAAACATTTTTGTAAATAGCATCCTTTGAGCAATGTCTGAGACAGATGGCCTGAGTTCAATCCCTGAAACCCACATAAAGGTGGATGGGTGGATGGGGAAAACTGACTCCATGAAGAGTTCCTTTTGCCTCCATGTGCACACCGTGGCATGCATGTGCATACGTGCACACACACACACACACACACATACACATCCACACAAGCACACACACACATACACACACCATACAACAATAATAAACAGATATTTTAAATATATATGTGGAGAGAGAAGTTGAGCACACACAGTCTCTAGACACCGTGGTTCTCACAGTGAGAGTTCCCACTACAGCTACAGCTTCACCTTTTTAGAAATTTAGAAATTAATTAGAATGCAGTCTGTCTCTGTCCCAGGCCTAGTGAGTCAGGAACCCACTCTGCCACTTTAAGTGACACAGTTCTCAAAGCATGTCTATCAAAAGTAAGAACATTGAGCCAGGTGGTGGTGGCACACGCCTTTAATCCCAGCACTCGGAGGCAGAGGCAGGGTCTACAGAGTGAGTTCCAGGACAGCTAGGACTGTTACACAGAGAAAACATGTTTCGAGAAAAAAAAACAAAAACAAACAAAAAAGTGAGAGCATTGACTAGGACTGAAAAGGTGGCTCAGCTGAGAAAAGGCTATACTATACTCAAACATATACACCATACACAGCAATAATTCATATCTACTTAATTATACATATGGAGACATAGATATACATATGGAGTACTTCTGTGTTTCACCTGAATAAAATTCTACATGCAACAGGCCATGGCAGCACATGCCTGTGATGTCAGGACTCTGGAAACTGAGGCAGAAAGATTGGCATGATTTCAAGACCACTCAGCTCATACAGCAAGTACCAGGCCAGCCTGGACTATGGAGCAAAACTGAGCAGCATTGTTTGTAATAGCCAGAACCTGGAAACAACCTAGATGTCCTTCAATGAAAGAATGGATGAAGAAAGTATGGAATATATACATATTAGAGTACTACTAAGCAGTTAAAAACAAGGACTTCTTGAATTTTGCATACAAATGGATGGAAATAGAAAACACTATCCTGAGTGAGGTAACCCAGACCCAAAAAGAGGAACGTGGGATGTACTCACTCATATTTGGTTTCTAGCCATAAATAAAGGACATTGAGCCTATATAATTCGCGATCTTAGAGAAGCTAAATAAGAAGGTGAACCCAAAGAAAAACATATAGGCATCCTCCTGAATATTAACCTTCATCAGGCGATGAAAGGAGACAGAGACAGAGACAGAGACCCACATTGGAGCACCGGACTGAAATCTCAAGGTCCAAATCAGGAGCAGAAGGAGAGAGAGCACGAGCAAGGAACTCAGGACCGCGAGGGGTGCACCCACACACTGAGACAATGGGGATGTTCTATCGGGAACTCAACAAGGCCAGCTGACCTGGGTCTGAAAAAGCATGGGATAAAACCGGACTTGATGAACATAGTGGACAATGAGGACTACTGAGACCTCAAGAACAATGGCAATGGGTTTTTGATCCTACTGCACATACTGGCTTTGGGGGAGCCTAGGCAGTTTGGATGCTCACCTTACTAGACCTGGATGGAGGTGGGTGGTCCTTGGACTTCCCACAGGTCAGGGAACCCTGATTGCTCTTCAGGCTGATGAGGGAGGGGGAGGGAAATGGGAGGCGGTGGCAGGGAGGAGGCAGAAATCTTTAATAAATAAATAAATTTAAAAAAAAAGAAGAAAGCAGGAAGAAGAGAAGAAAGAAAGGAAAATGAGGGAAGGAAAGGGTAGGGGAGAGGAAGGAAGAGAAGGGCAAGGAGGGAAGAAGAAGGGGAAAAGAGGGTAGAGGAGAAAAATCCAACTTCTAAGACCTTCAGTTTCATGACTGTCTCCACAGGCAGAGACTTACATGCCAAGCGATTCCTGACGTCATGGGAATGAGCCAGGAACGCGAACTTGAGGAAACTGAGGAGAGAACTCAGTGTCTGAGCCTTGCACACCTGCCTACACCAGGTGACAGCAGCTGCTGTGCCCACTGAAGCCATGAGGAAGGCAGGCTATGTCTTAATGCCCACCTGAGGGCACACCACAACGAGACCAACTCACTTCCAGCCTTCAGAGACATCACCTCACAAAACTGGACCCTTAGAAACAGCCCTGACACATGTCTGCCAAAATGGCTTTGTGTGAAATTCTCAAGGATTAATGAAAATGTTGCTTTAAAAAAATTACATTAGCCAGGTGTCATTATTCTCAGTACTCAGGAGGCAGAGGCAAGAGGATCTCTGTGAGTTCCAGGCCAACGGGGTCTACAGAGTAAGTTTAAGGCTACACAATGGGATCTGTCAAAAAAAATTATATTTTGTATGTATCTGTCTGTCCGCCTGCCTGTCTGTTCATATGTATGTTGCTTTTCGGAAATCATCCACATCTTATTTTGGGGCCATCCTCTCATTGGCCTGGAGGGCACTGAGCACACCAGGCTGGCTGCCCACCAGGATTAGGGTCACAAGCAGACATGCCACGCCCAGCTTTGTAACAAGATGGCTTTCACACAGAAACACGCCGAACCTTGACTGAGCCGGCAGAGGCGCTAAGGAGGGTTTTCAAGCCTTTCCCCAGTCCTCCGCCTCCAGCCTGCTGTGTGTGGAGTGTCTCCTTTACCGCCTGTGAAAGGCTTTCTCCTCGCAGCCTCACCTCCCTGGCCTCAGACAACAAAGCCGGCTTTGCTATTAGCACAAAGTGCTTGTTGCTTTCTTGATCCCTGAGCAAACCAGAATCCAGAGAACAATAATGCAGGCTTTTTTTTCTGTTCCAATAAAAAAGAGATGACACAGAGACCCGGGGGCGGCAGCTCCCCGGAGTGTGTTTTGACAAAGAAGTCATCGCTGTAAGCACACAGTAAACAAGCCCAGAGCCCAGCACTGTGCTCAGGATTCAGCTGCATGCTGGGAGTGGCTGGCAGGCACTCAGCCTTACATTCAGAAGGCCTCACAGCTACCTGTAGAGCTCTGCCTCGTCCCCGGCCTGGACCACAAGCCCTCCGAGAGTCTCCACCTGGAGTCCTGAAGGCTACTGGGAACGATACAGGTAGATTGGAATTTCCCTGTTGCCAGATCTTCCGCAGGGTTGAAGAAGGGCCTAGGAATGACTCTATGGCTTTGTGGACCTTTGAGAATTGTTTGTTTTGCCATTCCGAGTAAGTTTAATGAGTAGCTAGGTTTAGGAACCTGTTCTAGAGACATCTGAAGTATTTCTCCTTTGAAATCTTGAACCTCCCAGACAGAGCCAGTATAACATACCACCCAGGCCTTACCTCTGCTTTTCCTAGACACCTTCTAAAAGAGTCCAGGCCAACCTGAAACCATTCCAGCAGGCTGCCTGGTGTCTAAAACCAGGGATAGTGCCAAAGGGCAAATACAAGTGCGTGCGTGCGTGCGTGCATGCGTGTGTGTGTGTGTGTGTGTGTGTGTGCCAAATGTATAATTCTTTTACAAATACATTCCATGACAAAGTTCGATTTATAATTTACATAAGAGATGCGCAAACAGTGCTCTAGAGAGATGGCTCGGCAGGTAAGAGCAAAGGACCAGAGTTCGTTCCCAGCACCCACACTGAGTCCATCAAAAGCCCTATGTCTCTTCCTCAGAAGTCTGACACCCTTTTCTAGCTTCTGGGAGCACTGAGCTCGTATGCACGTACCCCTCCCACACATTCGGACATAATTAAAAATAAGTCGTTTGAAGAAGAAATTAACAAACAATAATAGAATAGATTACAGAACAATGTAATATAAGTTGCATAAATATGGTCTCTCTCTAAACGGCTTGTGTTCTGTTCTCACGCTTCTCGGCAGCATATGAGGACAAGGTGTCTGTCTGATGAAGCTGTAGCAGAGATTTAGGCCCCTTGACCTCATGACACCGTGAGGAGGAAGGTGGTGAAGCGGACTATGAGATGGTCAAGGATGAGGGAAAGCTAAAACTTGAAGCTACAGCTGGAAGAGGTGCCTGTGCCCTTCTCCAGGGCTGCTCACCCCTCAGAATGGGAGAAGAGGTTAGACCAACAAGGTCCTGTCTAAGCTTTGCCCTGTACCAGTACAAGTCCCCAGGCAACTGACAGGCACTTGAGCTTCGACCTCAGCAGCTGCAAAATGGAAGCAATAATCTCTGCCCAGATCAAGCTGGAGGACAGTGAGGGCTAGGAAGGCTGGAAGTGTGTACAGAGCCCCAGCACAGCTATGCTGGTTACTCCTAGGCCTCTGCACAGACTGCCCTACCGGGTGCTTCTCTGACCGGCCACACGGTGACCAGCAGCCTCAGCTCCCATCCGGCCACTCCTCCGGCTGTAAGCTAGGTATTCTAGTTTCGTTTCTGTTGCTGAAATAAAACATCCTGACAAAAAGTGACAGAGGAAAAGGGAGGGTTATTTGCCTCGTGATTCCAAGTTGCCACCCATTATTAAGAGGAAACCAAGATGAGAGCTTAAAGCATCACACCTATGGTCAAGGGCAGAGAGAGACAAATGCACCCGAGCTGCCCAATTGCTCTCAGACAGTCCCCTTCACTCTTATGTAACTCAGGACCCCCCTGCCTGGGGGATAGTGATACCCACAGTGGGCTGGGCCAAGTGACAATCAAGACAATCCCCACAGACACACACTGGATGGCCGGTCTGACTTACACACTTGTGTGTCCCCGTCCATCCTGAGTGCCACTGTCACTTCGTGCTCCCACACATGTAACAAGCATGTTCCCTTCCCCTCCTGACTCTTACATCCACTCCTGGTGCTTTCCTAAGACCGGGGCATGGAAGACCCACCTTTCCCACACCTCACAAAGCACGTGCCTTTGTCTTTTAAGAGAGCAAAACTGGGGAGCAGGTGAGCCACACGCTATAAGCCATGCTCCCTGGGACCTCTGCCCTCACCACCTCAAGAACAGAGCAATGGCTTGTGGTCTTACATTTGAGCTGGGTTTCCCAGGAATTTTAAAGTTCTTCTCCCGGGTCCATCCTCAGCCTTAAAGAACCAATCAGAACTTCAGCCGCTGTTTCTACTGCTTAGGGTTAGTTATTCACATTGGAGGTAAGGTTTTCATGTGTGCATGTATAGATATGGGGCGGAGCCAACTCTCCTCTTTTTTCCCCACATGTGCTGCCCAGCTTGAAACCATGTCCATATCCTAACTGTCCTCAGAAGGACTGTTCTTCCTCTGGAATTCAGTTAGCTCCATTGAGAGCAGCTTCTGAGGGACTCAAAGATGCTCAGTGCTGTTTTCAGTCTACAGCCGTCTTCTCATTACAAAGACTGTGAATGATGAGCTGGTGAAGCTTCTGTGTTTCTAAGAAGGAGATCTCCCATGGCATCTCCTTGTTGGGATAGAATTTAGGCTGTGTGGTGGTGTATGCCAGTAATCCAGGACTCAGGACCCCGAGGCAGGGGGACCAGTGTAAGTTTTAGAGGCCAGCCTGGGCTGCAGAGTGGCAACTCTATCTCAAGCAAAGGAAATAGAGCCAGGCAGTGGTGGCACACACCTTTAATCCCAGAACTTGGGAGGCAGAATGAGGAGGATCTCTGTGAGTTCAAGGCCAGCTCTACAGAGTGAGTTCCAGGATAAGCACCAAAGCTACACAGAGAAACCCTGACTCGGAACTACAGAAAAAAAGTCTTTCCACAACTTTATTAGCTATACAAAACACCATGATTATGCTGTGCTGATGATCCGATCCATTTCCTAATCTTTTTTAGACCTTATGTGTGTCTCTGTGTGTATGTATGCACACGTGAGTGAGTGTGATTTCCTGTGGAGTCCAGAAGAGGGCACCAAACTCCTTGGTACAGGAGTTAAAAAGCTGTGGCACACCTCCTGATATAGGCGCTGGGAGCCCAACCAGATCCTTTGCCAAGGCCCCAAACACTCTTAACTACTAAGCTGTCTGTCTAGCCCCAGCTTTGAATCTTAAAAGAAGCTTTCTAAACAGACTGGTGTTTCCAATGCTCCCTTTCTGACAAATACATCCTAGTATTCCATGGTTTTCTGTTCCTGTCAGCCAGCGAGTCTAGATGGACTGTTCAGAGTCAGGAAGAACAGCAACCAACAGTGTCTTCATCTTTTTTATTACACAAGAAACTTCAAGAGAGACTCTAAACATATACTGCAACTTTTCTCTTTTATTACACTTATTTGTGTTTGTGTGCACACTAGCCTGCCACAGCATGCATGTGAAGGTCAGAGGGCAACTTTCAGGAGCCAGTTCTCTTCCTCTGCCATTGGGAGTCCCAGGGGTCCACCTCAGGCCAGACTTGGTGCCAAGCACCTTTACTAACTGACCCAATTCACTGGTCCCATTTTGTGATATCTAATAAAAAAAAAAAAACTTACTGGCCAATCATACCTATTATCCCAGCCCTTGGGAGGCTGAGGCAGAATATCATATCTTCCCTGCAGTGATGGACTGTATCCCTCCAAGTGTACACAGGAATGGACCTTCCTTCCTGAAATTGCTTCCTGTCTGATCTTTTGTCGCAGCCATGGGAAAATAAACTAATGCACTTGGGAGTCAGAGTATTAACATAAGACTCATGAAGTTGGGCCTGCAAGGGAACTACGTTTGAATTAAAAAGCCCCTGGGGTAATGTCCAGTCCTCAGCCACCTAAGGAAGAAACCAAAAAGATTTCTCTCTCCAAGCCAGAGATTCCTGGGAGAGCAAGAAAGGGGGGTGATCTCAGGGACACTTGAGAACCTCTGCTGCTGGGCAAGGCTGTATTAGACCATAGTTTAGGACCAAGGGGTGTGTCACAGAGTCTGTAAGGCCATCAGCTGGGACAATCTGACAAGCATTCCCACAGACCCACAGAACACTCCTGAAGACATGAAAGGAAAGAAATGTTGAGGACTCTGGCAGACCCTGCTCATCCTGGCATGCCGCCAAGCAGCCCCCCCAGGTCCCCAGCAACACACAGTACCCCTCATTCAGGAATGCAGCTCCCCAGAGTGTATGGGCTGAAAAATACAGAGGAAGCCAGGCACAATGGCACACATTAGTAACCCCAGCCCTCAGAAGGTTGAGGCAGAAGAATGGCAAGTTAAAGGCCAGACCAGACTCCCAAGGTAAGACCCTGTCTCAGAACACAAAGGGCCCACCGGAGTGAAAGCCGCCCTCCTGGCTTCTGTACCTTACTGGTCTCCCTGCCATGGTTTGCCCCCCTCCATACTCCTCCTCCCAGGGGTGAGGACATCAGCCCTATGGTTTCTCCAGTGTGCAGTCTGACAGAGAGTTCTGTGCCCACACAGGAAAGTTCTGTGTCCCACTGCAAGCCACAGCCTTCGATAAAGCCACACTAGGAAAAATCTCTTCCAGGTAACAGGGTAGCTAGAGGGAGTGTGGGTTGGCCTGGAGCAGTCCCCGGATGGAAAGCCTCAGCCTCCTCCTCCAGCCCCACTTCAGAAACAACTTAAATAACCGCTTTCATGTTGTAGTCTGATAGAAGCCAAGGACTGGGAAGTTCCCAGCTTCTTAGATGAGGCTTTCCTGCTGTTTCAATGGCTTAGTGTTCAATGGCTTTGACTGACCCAAAATCAAGCTATTAATCAACAAAAACAGACTGAGCACTTAACTGTTTCATTCCCTTGCAATGGATTTTTTTTAAAAAACATATCCATTTCTACAGAGATGCCAGCAAAGCTTCCAGTAGAAAGAGACAAGGTGAGAAGCAGAGCCCCCCTGACTCCAAAGCTGGGGAATCTGTAATTTAATTTGTTCAAGGTTATAAACCTGAAGCTCATAGGTTAGCTTCGGGTAGACCCAGTGATCTTCAAAACATTGAAATTTAATATTGGGACTGTAGAGATAACTCAGTCAGTAAAAGCTTGCCTTACAAGCTTAAAGATCTGAGTTAAAGCTCCAGAACCCCTTTTTAAAAAGATTTAAAAAAAAAAAAAAAAAAGTCAGGTGTTTGGCTGGAGCAAGTACTGCCTGTTCAGACCACCCCGGTTTGATTCTCAGCCTCCACACTGGGCAGCTCACAAATGCATGGCACTCCAGCTCAATGGAATCTAAACTCTGGCCTCTAAGACACTTGCACTCA